CCTCCCTGCTTCAGCGCACCGGCCAGGCACCACGCCTGCCCACGCACCGGCACCCTACCCGCGGGCTTCCGGCACCCGCGCCCCCTGCCAACGGCCCACTGACACCCGAGTGCCACCATACCCCCAGTCCCACGATCAAAGATAGCATCACCGGTCACGGTGCAAGCGACGGGGCCCAGACCGTCCACGGATAGAACGGCGAACGACACAAGTGGACAGCAGCCAACGCACGCGGCCTCCGAGCTCCCACGACTACCTGGCTGCGAAGAGGATAGCGCGCCAGAGTGAGCGAGCAATAAACACTTAGCAGCGACTTGTAAATACGGGAGCTGCTTCTTGAGCGTCCAATATTAATGTGGAGTTTAGACCGTTGTACACGAGAAATTCCATTGGACTAACTAGACCTGGACATCCCCGTGTATAGTTTCCCGAAATACGTGCAAAAATAAATCCTTGAGTGACCCACTGTGAGAAACATTTGGTGAAAACAATTGGACAAAACCGCTAAGAGTATTCATCCGCGCCTCTTCTTCATCAGAAAATCAGTAGGTATAAGCAAGACCATTTCACAAGAAACTTCCATTATAGTGATAACTAACCTTGAAATCACCGAAGAGCGTAACGGTAGTCAATCTAGATTCGGACCAGAGTACGTTGCACAATCACAAACTATGAGACTTAATATTAAGTAAACTTGTGGTGGAAAAATTGGAAAAAAAACTTACATTTCATCCGCTCTTCTATCTGAAATCACTGTATGTAAAGTCAAGAACGTTTCCACGAGAAAAATTCATTCGGTGCATAACTAGAGTTGAATCGCGTGTTATTAAGCGGGGTCTTCGGAATACGTGCAAAAACGCAACACGCTCTAGCACCTGCGCATCTTAGAAGACTGGTGGGGTAAAAGTAATGGGGTAAACGTAGACTTAATTTCATCGCTTCTTCTCATCATCTCTGGCAAACACTCGTGAATGTAAAAGTGACAACGCTATTCTCACGAGAAATCATTACGTGATAACTAGACTCTGAATCCACCTGTATTAGTCTTACGAAAACGTGCAAAAACAAACTGACTCAGATAATTAGAAAATATGGTGAAAAAATGGACGAAAAAAACCTTAATTAAAATCGCCTTCTCTCTAAAATCGATGCGTAGTAAAGATAAAATTCCACGACACGAGAACTCATTGGTGCAAACGACTTGAATCCCGAGCTAAGTAGTTCCAGGCAACAAATCGCGAGCAAAAACAAACTTGAGCCATCATTAGAAATTGGTCTCTGTATCACGATACGAAATTGCTCGACGAAAGCACTTGAAGTTCATTCGCCTTCTTCCTTAAACAGACACTGATGTCCAGAAGATAGAAACGAATTCACCGAGATAAGTGACCATGGTATAACTAGACTGATCCGTGTATTAAGTTTTGGAAAATACCGTGGACAGCAAAACAGCATCTAGCTAGATATTAGAAAAATTATGATTTGAAAAAATTGGAAAAAACCTTAATTTCATTCGCTTTTCTATACTAAAATCAAGCTGCTGTAAGTAGACAATATTTACCACTGAAACTCATGGCTGGCAAAACTAGACCTTTGATCCCTCGCATGCTATTAAGTTCGGAAAATACCGTGCAAAACACAACATTGAGCTAATCATTAGTAAATTTGTGAAAAAGTAATGGAAAACATCGTTTAATCTTCAACGCTTCTAACTTCTGAAATTCAATGTCTGTGTACGACAAGCAGTAGAACTGTCATCACCGAGATAAATTCATCGTAACAAACTATGATCTTTTAATCTGCCTTCAATCGAAATGATAATTTAGTTAGCGAAATACGTGCAAAAACAAACTTGAGCTAATATTAGCAAAAATTGGTGAAAACAAAAATTGTTCTCACAAACAAACTTAATTCATCCGCTTTCTCTGAACATCATGCTAGTGAGTAGAAACGTATACACGTAAGATACCAAAGAAAAATTCATTAGTATAACTAAGAATAGCGTGTACAATACCGATATATAGTTCGGAAATACGTGCAATACCTAACCTTGAGCTTTTAGTAATTTGGGAAAAAAATGTGAAAAAAAACTTAATTCACCCAAGCCATTTGTTCTGGGAAACAATAGTCATATGCGTTGGTAGAAAACGTTTCCACCCGAGAAATTCATTAGGCTGACTTTACAACATCTAGACTTCGAATTCCGCAAAACCTGTATATTTGTAAACACGCAGTAGCACAACAGAATACCTAACTCTCTAGACTGATAAGTTATGCAAATTGTTCGAACAAATTCCGAAAAAAACTAATTACATTTCATCGAACAATGTATTTTTGAAATAATGATATATGGTAAACCTGTTTCACTGATGAAATTCATTTGTGCAAACTAGAACCTTAGAATCACAGTATTAAGTTTCCTGTGAAATACGTGTAATAATATTACACATTGAGCTATATATTAGTTAGAAATTATGAATGAAAAATAGTGAAAAACTTAAATTCATCGCCTTTCTTCTGAAAATATTCCACGTATTGGTCCCGTTTTCACACGAGAAAATCAGTGCGCTATAACACTAAGACGTGAATCCGTGTATTAGTTTCCCGAAATACGGCATACAAACCTTGAAGCCTGCATAGTAGCAAATTTGGTGAAAAAATTGGAAAAAACTATAATTTTCCATCGCTTTCTTCTAAAATCAATGATGATTACGTGTTAAAACGTTTACACGAGAACTTCTATTGGTGCTAAAACCAAGAACTAATACCAGAGTATAAGTTCTCCGATCAACGGTGCCCAAAACTACAACTGAGCCTCATATTAGAACAATTTGTGTGTACACAATATATGGAAAAATACTTAATTTCATTCGCTGTTTTATAAATCATGTACTTGAGCTAGAACGTTTCCACCCGAAGAAATTCCCATGTGACCTCCTCTTATATAACCAGACTGAAATCGACTTGCATTAGTTCCTTCTCCTTCTTGCTAACGCACGATGTCAAAACAATCTTGAGAATGATATTATGAACAATTCTTGTCTTTGAAAAAATTGAAAAAACTCTAATTTTCCCATTCTGCTTTCTTTCTTGAAACTATGCTTCTAGGATAACTCTAGAACGTTTCACAGTACGAATAATTCAAACATTTATCTGTGTCAAACTAGACTTAAATCCCGAGTATCTAGTCTCGGAAAATAGTCCTGAATACAAGAAACTTGAAGCTGATATTAGTCAAAATGTGTAGTGAAAAAATGCGTAAACATATAACTTTATTACGATTCAAATCGCTTTCTTCTAAATCTCATGTATGTTGAGTAGTACGTTTCACGAGAATTCATTGGTTGATTAACTAGACTTTGAATCCGTTTGTATATTGTTCGTGAATAAATTCACTTATTGCTGTATTGAATACAATTGCTGCATATATGAAATTTGTGAAAATTGGAATAAAAAAACTTTAATTTTTCATCGCTTTCTTCTAAATCCATGTGTGTAATGTACCCGTTAACGAAACGAGTGATAATGTTCACCTGCCAAAATTCATTGGTTTTTCTAAACAATAGCTTGAGAAATCCGTTGGAGTAATTCGCAAAGAACAGTTTCGCAAATACGTTCAAACAAACATGAGCCTAGCAATATTAAGAAAATGTTGTGAACAAAACCGCGGAAAAAAATAATAATTATACATCGACCTTTCTTCTGATTGACATCTATTGTGATGAGATTGCGTGAAGTTACTCTTTAAAAACGCGCTGTCACAGAAGAAATTCATCTAGATAGTAACACCACGACTATCTAGAAAATCCAGAGATATTCTAACGTTTCACGAAATACGTGCGCAAAATCCCAAACTTCAGCTTAGATAATTATAGGTAAAAATTTGTGTAAATAGATATTGTGCACTTCTATTATCTATAATCTCGGAAATCATGATTTTGTGTGTATATAGTATAAACGAATTTACACCTCCAGAATAAACTTCTGTTGCAAAACCCTGAACATTGAATCGAGTATTAGTTTCGAAGCATAATACGCGCGACGCATTATAAAACCACAACTTGAGCTCCATATTATATTGGTTAGCAAAAAATAATTGGAAAAAACATACATATATCATGCAGCCTTCTCTCAAAAATCATGCGTGTACGTAGAGGAAGAACGCTGCACTTTCACCGAGAAAATCACTTCATAATTGAGAATAACTAGAATCTAATACCGTGTATATTATGTTTACGAAAAAATACGCCTGCACTGAACAAACTTAAGCTCCAGTACAATTAGAATAATTTTAGTGAGCGTCCAATTGTACCATGTGACATATAAAAAACTAATTCACGCTTTCTTATTGACATCATGTATGATAATTAGTATTGCTTTACACAAAGACTAGTTCCTTGCTGAATAAACCTAGCACTGAAATCCCGCGTATTAGTTCTGGCAAATTACGTGCACCATATAAACTCTGAGCTGATACTTAGACAAAGTTTGGTAGACAAATAATTATCGTGAATCTTATGAAAACTCAATTCCACTTCGCTCCTATCTTCTATAAAAAGACATAATGTGTACAGAGTAAATAACCGTACTCTCACGTAAAATTCATTGTTGCAAACTAACACTTTAATCCGGAGTATTATTTCGTGCCGAACATATCTGAGCCTCATAAACTAGGAACTTAGAGCTCATATTAACGGAAAAATTATTGTTGTGAAAAAAAATTGAAAAAAAATTAATTTCATCCTTTCTTCTGAATCATTTATGTGGTACGAAACCTTTCACGAGAAATTCACTTGGGTGACAAACTAGACTTGAATCCGTGTATTAGTTTCGAATACGTGCAAACCAATCTTTGAGCTATATTAGACAATTTGGTGAAAAATTGAAAAAAAAAAAACATAATCTTCCCAATCCATTCTTCTGAATATCATGTATGT